GCTACTCTGGATCAAGACACAGTCAGGAGTAGAGTTTGGACCTGAGCTGGTTCTGACTCACCATCCAGCAGCAGCAGGTCCGGTCTGGAGACAAAAACAACACAGAATCGTCAGAGAGCTGGACCTCATGCAGACGTACCGTTTGTCCTCATTTCCTCCCTTTGACTACATGAACGCCTGAACATCGTCGGGTTCTGTATGTTTGGAAACAGACGGAACCAACTCACCGAGCGAACAGAGCCCTCGCCAGCGCCAACCTCATCCTCCATCCTCCGGAGAACTCCCTGAACATAGAAAACACAGCTGCTGAGGCTGCTGCTGAGGAACCAGGTGATCTAATGTGTGTGTGACGGACAGGTGACTCACTTGGTGGTTTGCTGCTGCATTTTGGGAGAAAACCCGAGACCGGCCAGGATGACGGAGGCTCTGATTGGACGAGACACGCGTCAGTCAACAACAAATCATTCAACAGAAGTCTGAGACGTAGGTCAGAATGTTTACATCAGGAGCTTATTGGTTCATTTATCAACAGATTTACTGGATGTTTGAACCTCCATGATGACTGAACAGCTTCCTGCAGCAACACGACCTGAACCTCAGCCTGAAACATTCAAGTCCTCAGTTCAGACTCTGTTCCAGCCTTTAGACCTGCAGACCTCCAGTGTCTCTGCAGTCGCTTTGAGACTCTTTGCATGTCTTATTGGTGGTTTTTAGTGTCTTTGTGGTGGTTTTGAGTCTCTTTATGACTATTTTTTGTCTCTTTATGGTGGTTTTGTGTGTCTTTTTGCTGGCTTTGCATCTATTTGTAATGGATTTGTATTTCTTGATGTCTCTTTGTAGTGGTTCTGCATCTCTTTATGGCTATTTTTTGCTTCATTATTTGGTTATTTTGCATCTTTTTGGTGGTTTTGCATCTCTGTGGTAGTTTTCCTTCCCTTTGTGGTCATGTTACATCTCTTTGTGGTGGTTCTACATCCCACTGTGGTTGTACTGCATCTTTTTGGCTATCTTTTTTGTCATTTTGCATGTGTTCTTGGTTGTTTTGCGTCGCTTTATGGCTACTTTGTGTTTCTTTACGGTTGTTTTGCACGTCTTTGTGGTAGTCATTTGTCTTTTTGTGGCTGTTCTGCACGTCTTTGTAGTGGTTTTGCTTCTCTTTGTTTATCAGGTTATGTCTCTTTGCTGTCGTTCTACATCCCATTGTGGCTGTGCTACATTATTTTGTGGTCATTTTGTGTGTCTCTGTATTGGTTTTGCATCTTGTTTTGGTCATTTGACACGCCTTTGTGGTAGCTTTGCTTCCCTTCGTGGACGTTCTGACTTTACGTCCATCCAGCTGGTCTCTGGTGCAACATTTGGGATGAATTAACATCAACATCTGCCGCCCCTCAGGGTCCAGAACCAGCTGTTGAGAAACACCGTCTGCAGCGGCTACGACATCTTCGCAGCAGTTTACAGATTTCGATTCGTCCATCTGAGGATCAGAGCCGCTGACGCGTTGTATTTTTATCACCTGGAGCTGTTTTTATTCCGTTCATTCTCTTTTTTCTGTGATCTGATGGATCTTTTTAGTCCATCTGCTTTTTCTTTCTAACTTAATTTTAAAGGAACTACGTGATTAAACCACAGCATTATTATTAGAGCGTGTCAGACACCATGAGGAAGCCGGAGCTGATGATGTGCGTCGGCCTATTTCTGTTGTGTACCAGCACAAACTCATCAAAGTCGCTGTATTTTTAACCGTCTCCAGAGGCAGGACTCTGATCCTCCTGGAGGACTGGAATGATTTCGCCTCACGTTGAGCTCATCTGCTTCAAACTGAGGTTTTGTTTTTCATGTTAAAAGTACATCAATATAATCAGTAAAATGTTCTGTGGTCGTCTCCAGTAATACAGTTCATTACATCATAAGATTATTCATATAAAAGCACACTTTTCCTGCTCTGGTAACAACTCAATGAACCGGCGTCGCCAAAATGAAGCGAAAAACAGCCGTAATCATGTTTCCTCTGATTAACACAAAGCTGCAGTTGTTGAGTTTTTACGCCTCCTGGTTCTGATCAAGCTGTTGATAAAAATAAAAGCACATTTTACTGTGAGCTGACAACTGAAGAAGACAGCTGTGCTTGTTGTTAATTGTTTAACATTTAATTTAGATTTTCAGTTTGTGACGAGCAGCTAAGAGAGACAAAACACCAACGAAGAAGAAAAGCTGCGTGGTTGTCATAGTTACCGGGCCGGGGCTTTGTCGGCTTCGATCTCCTCCAGTTTGACGTAGATCTCCGACAGCCGGACGCTCTCCATCCCGTCAGCACTGAAACAACAACAACAACAAATCAGACACGCAAAACACCAACCGACCCGGTGACATCACAGCCGCTTGTTCGCTATCTGCCAGCTGATTGGACGAATGATACCTGCCCCGCTGGTCGGTGCGTTTACATTCAGTTCCTTTAAATCCTGCAGACGAAAACTGACTTTCATCCATAACAAGCACATTTTGAACATCAGCGACACATTAAGCCAAACAACAGAAACAGAATTTCACTGTTTTCAGATTTAAACCTTTTTAATAAACCTTTATGTCGCTGCTGCAGCTGTTGAGTCACTTCAGCGACCAACCTTCAGATAAAACTAAACGCTGACCTCATGTACGGTTTAGTATTGTGGCCAAACAGGACGCTGAGCTTTTATTTTGACATCGTTTTGTCTTCAGCGTCTGGACAGCTGTGAAACTCTGAGCGAGCTCACGTCTACGGACTCCAGTCGACTCTCTGAGGGACCGAGCTGCTAAGCAACCGTCAGCTGATTGTGGCAAAATAAATGCCGACGGCGTGATGAAGGCTTCGGAGTGGAAACTCTGTTTGATACTAAACAGTCACTTGCTGTACGCTGGTAGTTATGAACACTTCATGACTCATTTCTCCGTAACAGGGCCGTGAACGCCTCAAATAAAACACATCAACAGAGAACAGGCGTGTTTGTGTGTCTGCAAAGCTCTGCTCTCACACCTGCTGAAGTCGATTTCATTGATTATAATGGGAGTAGAGATGCGGCTGCAGTTTAAATGTCACCATAATCATCATCATCAGGGATGCACAATATTGTAGAAAGAAACACTTAGTTTTTTGGGATATATGCTGCATGATGTTAAAGAAAAGGTACAGACATTTTCAGCAGATATTTATATGATAAGTCAATTTGGAAAGAATTAGTAATTCTACAATGATTGGGGTGATTTTGTAGGTGAAAATTTCTATTTGTATGTATTCTATATGTATAGTTTTGTTAAGAAATTATCACTAGTTGACTTCTGCATGAGGCTCCAGCCCCACGAGACCCGACTGAGGATTAGGTGGTGCACAGATAACGGATGGACTTCTGCATGGTCAAATCTTTTCATTAATATGAGCCCAAAGGCAGAACTTTGAATTTCTTCCATATTTCAACTGATCCATACTTATTCATATTGTAGATTCTAAATCAATGACATGATGAGAAATACCAGTGAAGATCTCAGGCTTTTATCGTTATTGCTTCCTGAGATGTTGTTGTTCAAACGGCCTCAAATTTCAACATGTAAACAAAAAGAACCTGCTGAAACTGGGTCGACGGGCAGTTTTTAAAAACATTTTATCTCAGCGAGTGTTTACCATATGAAGCTAAAATTTCACAGATATCCTCATAAATATCTGTATTTTATGCTCTAAAGATTTCAAGATGGTTGAGCAGAACTTGTTGTAAAACTAAGATGATTTTGGAATGACTCAGCTGGACGATGAGTTTATCGTACTTGTGCGGCGGGCGACTCATCAGGTGCAGATCAGTGGTTCTGATCTGAAACACCCTGAAACAAACACTTAAATTGGTCGTTCTCTTACGTTCCGTTGGCGATGCGAGCGTTCAGCGTCTTCTCCTCGTGCAGCAGCTCCTCTCGCTGCGTGTCGCTCTGCAGGACGCTCTGCAGCGCCGCCGTATCGTCTCCGGCTACTTCCTGTTCCACGTGCAGGATGGAGATGTGTCCCGGCACGCGAAGGTTTCGACTGGCCAGCATCTTCAGCAGCGTCGTCTTCCCCAGACCGTTACGGCCGATCAGGCCGTACCGCCGGCCCGACGCCAGAGAAAGCTCCGCCCCCTGCAGCAGACACCTGGAGACGACCAAAGATTCACAGGATTAAACTCTGTCTGGTTAGGATCAGCTGTCGGCCGGTTCTGATCGGTTCTCACCTTTCTCCAAACGAAACGTCAAAGTTCTCGATGCGGATGTCGTAGCTGCGGTTCTTCCCTGATTGGTCGACTCGGTTGTCCTTCTTACTGCTCGCCTGGCTGGCCGATGCCTCCTCCAGGACTCTGAGACGACACAGGAGGACAGGTGAGAGGTGGGCAGGTGAGAGGTGGACAGGTGAGAGGGGGACAGGTGAGAGGTGGACAGGTGAGAGGTGGACAGGTGAGAGGGTGAGAGGGGGACAGGTGAGAGGTGGACAGGTGAGAGGTGGACAGGTGAGGACAGGTGAGGACTCACAGTGGACTGGAGGCTTTCTGGGAGTCCTTCTCGTTCCTGCGTTCATGTTTGGCTTTCAGCTTCGCTTCAGCTTTTTCCAACTTCTTGGCGTCGACCGTCTAAAGAGACACAGAGAGACAAAGAGACAAAGACTCAGAAAGCAGCTTTTATTAGACTTGAGGACATTTTCTTCATTTCAAGCTGAGAAATTAAACCATCACTGAGTCTGAAGCAGCTCAGTTTCACCTCTCAGTGTTTTAATATCCGTGCAGGACATGATGCTGCGTTTAAGGACACGGCAGCAGAGCAGGAAACATCAGGACTTCTACGTTTTCAAATTTGACAAAATCCAAAAGAATTAAATAAAAACGATGCTTAAATGATCCGCTTCTTTAAAAAAAGTCAGTCTGAAAACAGCGAGGAGCAGATTTATCCAGCTACAGACTCTTCACACACACATGCAGGATGATTTTCATCATTACATCATCTACAGATTATTTTTCAGGTGAACTGACTGTTTGGTTTGGGATTTATTTTAACAAGTCAAGTGTTTTCTTGCGTCTTTAAGCTCATAAGAGTCAGAGGAGGATTTCCACAACATGATCATCCTTCACATCTGACTCAGTCCCATACAGTCAATCTACCATCAACACACAGGAGAATTAAAAAAAGAGCCATTAGATCAAATAACTATTTCAAAGTGAGTGTTGAAGGTGTTAAAGACTTACTGTGTTCTGAGGACGTTTCATCATCCAGATGCCTTGAACATCTTTGGCTGCACAAACTGAAGAGGAGGAAACACACGGATCAGTAACTATCATCTGATCAACATTCAGAACAACATTAATGTTTGTTTAGTTCTTAAGCACAAAGTGTTTTATGATTT